CCTGCTGTCACAGCTCCCCATCCTGGCAAGAGCTCACCTGGGACCACATCAGAAACTATTCAGGTGCTGATCTCATTTGTTCCTATTCTCTTGCAGAAATAAAACAGCTTGTGGTTCAGTTTTTCACATTGTCTGTGCTTCTGAATATGGATGGGTTGGCAGTAGAGCCACTTCTTTTCAGAGCAGTGGCATTAATAGCACAGAGAGAGGCTGTGCCTGTAGATTATTACATACAGTGACACCCCATTCTACTCCAAAAGCCTTTCATCAGAAAAGCTGGCACCCACAGATTACCTAAAGCTACCCCCACACAAACAGAGGTGTGATGAGCAAACCAGGACAGCACAAAGTGTTTCCAGTGCTGGGGCAAATAAAGGTTTTCCAGCTGATTGTCCTGGTGTCATCCAGCTGTTCCAGCTGCCCACCTGGGCAGTAAAGCTGCACCCTTGTCCCAGTTCTCTCAGTCTCACACCAAGAATTAAAACCAATTGGGAAAGGAGGAACACACTGATGAGGACGGCTGATTCCATCCCCATCCTTGTCCCAAGCAGCTCTCATCCCACCCAACACCATGGAGGCTTCTCAAGGCTTTGGCCACCACCAGCAGATCAAAAAAATTGCCTTTCTTCCCTTCACATTATTCCCTCTACACTGTAGATGGTAAAAAAAAAAAAAGCCATCCAACTCATTGTGAGATTAAGCACAAAATAAATCCCTACAGCCATTCACAGCTTCGGTGCCTGTTAAGAGAACTGTACAAAGTGTAAGCTGAGTTTGCACATAAAAGCCAACGGTGAGTTGTAGCACGCAAGGAAATGAGTCAGGAGGAAATTAAACACAATTTATTATTTTCTCAGTGTAAAAAGCCACAGTTGGGATTAATCCTCTTGTGAATATCTAAAGGTGACTCTCAAATCACCTACACAAAGAGCCAGTTCTCCCTTTTGCCATGTTATTGCAACCCTTTTGAATGATTCATGACGAAGGGCTTCAAAGAGCTCCATCCAAGCCATGACAACAGTCCCAGATCCGACCTCCTCGTTCTCATCTCAGCAAAAAACCCTCCTTGGTGAATAATTTAGGTCTAGGAAGAGAGCTGCCTTAAAACTACTCCCAAGGGAAGAAGCAGTGTCTAGGATTTAATCTCATTATGGAAATAAAAAGAAAAAGAAAATATCAAAAGCAAACAGTGACTGCAACAACAATAGAAGCCTTATTTACAGAATTCATCTGTTGTGAAACTCCACAGAAGGGGACCACAGCTGCTTTTCCCCGAAATATGTTTCATATTTCCAGAGACCAAAGATGAAATCCAAAGCTTTGGCTTTCAACTTAACGATAGACAAACACACGCAGGGATGACACAACTACTGTTCAGGGCTATTGAGGAAAGAAAAAGGTCATTTAGAGCTAGGGGTGAAAACTTGGGCTTGACCACAGGCTGTAGCACATCCTCCACTGATTAAGCTCAGCACAGCAGGGCGAGGCTCGTGACAAAACCTGAGGCAATTCTGCCCTCACTTCAAGCTTGGGGTAGAGTTCTGCAGTGCCTCTGTTGCAAGGGTTACACACAGAGTGGTTGCAAAACCAAAAAGGCATTAAAAAAAAAAAAAAAAAAAAAAAAAAAAAAAAAAAAAAAAAAAAAAAAAAAAAAAAAAAAAAAAAAAAAAAAAAAAAAAGAAGCGCAGCACCCAGGAAGAAAAGCTCCATATGTAACAGGAATCACATCTGTGCACCTCCACCTTAACAGGGAGGTTTCCAGCGAGCATTTCAGTCTAATTCCTCCCCCAAATTCCTGACATGGCATGCAGGGATTTTGTCGTGTCACTTGAAATGTTTAATCTTCTCCTTGATGGACTGATGGGGATATTCTAGAACATTAAACTCAGATGAGCCATTCACATCATTTTGCCTCAACAGCAATAAGAAGCTTCGGTTTCATGGCCATTTTGTGAAGATTACTCACAATGACGAGCACCTTCATCTTCTTTCTATGAAACACTGTGACATTTTGAAGGACAATTAATCCAAACCGTGGATCACTCTATACTTGAAATAACCAGCGTAGCCAAAAGCAGCTAAATACTGAAACATTTCTAGTAATGGTGATAGCTGTAACAGTCTGGGGTTTGTCCTTATGTCTTAAAGTAAAATATTTTGCTCCAGCTCAGCCTCGTATTGTGCTCAACTTGAAACATTTCTGCTTCCAAGTGGCCAAAAATGGCAACCATTTCGGTACAAATGGTAGCCCCGTTGCTTAAACTCTTCCCTCTTATTTTAGGAGGGGACAACCACTCGTCCATGTTGCAAACTACCCTCTGACTGTGGGAGATCACCATCGGTCCCACTGGGTCTCACCCTCAGAGGCAAAGCCAAGCTTCAGCCTCCATCTGCTCCAGAGCCTTATGCTGGGGCAGGGCCCTGCAAAGAGCAGAGAATGAGATGAAATGAGAGCCCTTTCAGCAGCAACAATGGCCCTGTAATTATCCCAGCAGAGCAGGTGGCACGCTGTGTGCACAGGTACGGGGAGTGCTCCCTCGGGGACAGCACGGCTCCCCGGCCACGGCCCATCTGCGAGGCCCAGGACGGCATCAGGACCTTGGAGACTGCATCTGCTCTGAAATACTCCTTTTGGGAGGGTCAAAAACCCAAGCCTTGATCAACTCCTCTGCGGTCAGGGGGCTCGGGGAGGGATGAAATGGATGCTTGGGCTCTGTGCTCACCCGGCCCAGCCCTCCCCAGCCCGTGGAGCACCGGCTGTTCACCAAAACACATTTGCTGAGGCTCAGCAGAGCTCCTGGAGATACCACAGGCACACAGGCACCGGTGGATGCTGATTCAGAACATGCTTGCACGAAGAAAAGACATCTGAATTGTCAGGGTTTCTCTTGGGGCAGACTGTGGTGAATTCCACGTACGTTTCTTTTCCGTCAAATTTTTCGCTGAAACTTCTTCCTCTTCTGTGATTGTCATTTTACGACGGAGCAGGTGTCAGAGATAGCTGTATGTGGCCACCGAAATCTGTCACGTGAGGCAAGAGACACCTTTGAGCTCTCAGAAATAATTACTGTCAAAGCCAGTGCTTGGCATAAAGACACAGAACCGCTCGGGTGCCCAGTGAGAGCCACCGTGTGCGTGCACACCCCTCAAATGCATCCATTTCTACGTGAAAATCGGAACTAAACAACTCTTTGCTTGTTCCAGACCTGATAAACTCGGCTCTCTCAACACGAGCAAGAGTCGTACAAGAAGACAGGATTGGCTTTTGGAAAGCACAAGAATTTCCTGCCATTTCTCTCCAGCCTGTACACGATTTTCCCGGTTTGGGGAAAGTTCAAACTGCTGTCAGCTAAAGCTGCGCCCAAATTCTTATTAGCAAAGGGGGAGGGGAAAAGGCTTTTCCTGCACATGGTGGAGAAGAGGCTGCAAGGAGGAAATTACCCAAAGATGCAGCAGGGCAGGATTACAGCTCAGGATGTGGATGAGTTTAAGCCAGATCTCCCCTGTGCCCAGCAAACATCCCCACCACCAGCTGATAGCAGCTCTGAAATGAGCCTTTTGTACTCTCCTGCAGGTTTATTTTTTATTTTCTTGTATAAGAAAGGAGTTTATTTGAAGGGTTTGGACTGAGACCTGCCACACCTCAGGTACCTGTTTTTATCCCAGGCTCTGGAACAAAACTCTCTTCAGTCTTGTTGGAATTTAATAAAACAGCCTTGTCATGAAACACCACCACAAGCCCCCAAACCATTCCTAGCAGTGCAAGGAGAACCTCAGGAGCTGGTTTAGAGCTGTACAGCAAAAAACACCCGTAAACCACCAAAAATATCAAAGCAGAACAAAAACTATCACACCTTCCCCCTTCGCCCCTTTGCACCGGCAGCATCTTCACCAGCCTGCCCAGAAAACAAGCTCTTTCACCCCAAAAGCTCCCTGCCACGTCAGCCGGTCCCCCTCAACGTGCCGCCCATCCCTGCTCATCCCGGGCTGTTCCCGGCGTGCCGGCACGTCCCGCATGAGTCCCAGGGCCAGGAATAGGCAGCTGCCTGCTCGCAACGTGCAGGCTGTGTGTGGTAGGGCTGTACTCGCAGCCTGCCAACACCCGGGCCGGGAACGCAGCGGGATGGCCGCTGCCAGCGGGAGCCGGCAGGAACAGCGCCATGTGGGAAATTTAGGATGCAAGAGGAGCCGGGGGTGCGCGGAGTGTCCTTCCCCAGCGCGGCCGGGGCTCGGGTTTAACGCGCTGTGCGAGGGGGGACACGGGCCGGGAGATGGGCTGAGACCAACCGGGTTTGTCTGCAGCCTCCCTGGGATACGGAGCTATGAAGGAGATTAGACCCTGATGACTCCGGTCTTCACCCGTCTCAGTTAGACAAAAACCTGGAGTCTGGATTTAAGGATGCTCTTTTAGGTGTTTCTGAAATCGCCCTGCAAGGGACAGGGAACAGGTATTTACATCCCCGAAGTTCCTGCGTGTTGCCACCCTGTTCTTCATGGAGCAGAACAGTGTTGGAATGTTCATTAAAGCAACCCTAAACTGATCTTATTTCCTGAAGCATTCCACATGCCAAACCCACCTAAAAACGCTTTTAGGAATATTTTTCTCCATTAAACTCACTAAAATTTCAATTAGATTTAGAAGCCTGTTAAAGGTAAAAAAAAAAAATAAATTACTATTATAAATTAAAATTATAAATTAAAAAGTCAGTGCGTGACCAAAGGCGACACCCCCTTCCCAGGCGAGACTTCTCCAAATCTCATTTCCAAAGGTGCACGGGAATTTTTTGCGGAGCGCGGGCATTCCCTGGAGCGCTCGGCAAGCGGGTGTTTTTCCATCCAACAGCCCCGTTCATACAAATAATCACATAACCCCCCCTCCCCTCGCAAACCTCCTTGTGGCGGAGCTGTCCCAGCTGGGCAGGGGCAGGAGCAGCTCCCCCCGGGATGCTCGGGGCGGGGATGGGGGATGTTCCCCCCCGGGGTGCCGGTCCCCTCCCTCCCCGCCGGGGCTGAGGAAGCGGAGGGAGCCGTGGAGTTGCTCTGCATATTAATGAGGCGGCAGCGAGGGCAGCGGGAGCCGCTTTAAAGGAGGAGAAGGGGAGGCAGAGGCAGAGCGCAGGCAGCGCCGGGCAGCGGCTCCGCCGGGAGCAGCTCCGCTGTCCCCTCGCCGGTGACACAGCCCCGGGACAGCGGGATCGGGGGGAAGAACCCCAAGCGAGAATTCACATCAACCCCCCCGGCGTCGCCTCGGGTACCTGCTGTCTCACCATGAAGCTCCTGACAGCAGCTCTGCTCCTGCTCTTCATCGCCATGTGCTTGGCCAGCGCAGAAGGTAAAGTGTTTTTTGGTTTTTTTTCTGCCTATTCCTGTGTAAACCTCTTTTTCCAGCAATTTGCCTCTTGGTAGCCCTGGGCTGGGTTGAGCTGTCCCCGGCACGTTGGGAAGGTGCGATGTTCGGAATCTGTGAGTGAGGGAGCGGCGAGTTTTTTTAAAGGTGAAGCAGAGGTAAAATACACCGGGCAGAGTCGCGTCTTCATTCGAGTCTTCACTGCACGCCAAAGAGCCCTCCGTGTGGCAGCTCATGCCACGCTCCCCGTTATCCGGGAATACAGCTCAGATACCTCCTGCCAGGTGGGTTTAGCATGTGGAATGCTCCAGGAAATAAGAGCACTTTAGGGTTGCTTTAACGAACACTCGAAGGGTGGTTTTCAGGGAAAATAGAACAGAGGTGGATTCGAGGTGGTGGCACAGTCTGCACTTTCTGCTGTGCACAAAAATGAGGGTTAAAAAACGCTCAGCTTTTGTCTGGCTGTGGCTGCACCACGACATCCATGTGAGGAGAAATGACTGGAAGTCCTACAAAGTCCAAGCGGGACGTGAGTGAATGAGAAAGCAGCCGAGACGTGCGCTGGCTTGCTCAGTTTAAAGAGTTCTGACTCTTTCACTTCCTTTTGTTCAAGACAATTGTATTTAATCGCAGCAGGTGCACTGTAAAAAAAAAAAAAAAATCTGATATCTGCAAAGCCTCAGAACATATATAGTGTTCTAAAACATATTTCCCAGAGAGTCACTACCTTTTCCTGGGATATACCAAAGAAAAGAAAAATTTAATTTTTTTTTTTTAAGCTCGACAGCTTTACAAAATTCAGCTTTTTCCACCGAGGCTTGAAAGAGTCAACTGAAGTTTTCCTGGATGCACCCGGGCTGGAGGGCAGGGACGCTTGGTATGCAGGAGGCTTTGCAGGCGCGTGAGAAAGTGCTTTCTCTTGTAGGCGTGAAGTGCAAGTGCTCAAGGAAAGGTCCGAAAATAAGATTCTCTAACGTACGGAAGCTGGAAGTGAAACCGAGGTACCCGTTTTGCGTGGAGGAGATGATTATGTAAGTCTGCCCTCATTGATTGCTTGCTGTTTCCCCGTCAGCTGAACTGCTTTACCTTTTACTGCAAGTTCCTTCTTTGTTCTTTGTTTTCCTCCATGCCCTGGCATGCTAATTCCTGGGAATATTCATTTGCAAATTGAATATTCCTAGGAATACTTCTAGCCCAAAAAAGAAATTGTGCAATTCTGACCAAAACCCCAGCTATTATTTTTCGACAGAATTTTTTTTTTCCCCTCAAAATAAATATTTCCAGAACCAGGCAGCAATAAAAGATAATCACTAGTTCAAGTGAAAATAATGACAAATCCTACTCCAAGTTACATGCTATAAAATTCAGAACTGTTTACCCAAGTTATTCTGGGCATACAGAAAAAATATGAGCAGAGTTTGGTTTCTGCAAGGAAGATTAGCCGGATCAGAGACAGATTTTTGCCTCTGTTGTACCAGAGCAATCCCCTTCATTCAATTAGATTATCCAGCATTTAAGAAAAGGTTTTCCTCTCAGTCTCCCTGCAAGTTGGGACCATTGCTGCTGTGAAATCTCAGAGTGATGTAATGGCTAACCAAGGTGAGGCAGGTACAGGGATTTTTGACATGATTGGCTCAAAAGGGGGGGGGGTTAGATTTTAAATATGGGAGGGTTTGGGGTTTTTCTTGTCCTGTTTTGGATTTCTTAAGATTCCCCCCATAAAACACCATCCAACCAGCACATGTGGCTGGATAAGGGAAGATTAACCAAGAAGACTTCACCAAGCTCCTCTGCCACCTAAAAAAGGTGAAAGAGTCCCAAGAGCATCCACACTGCCAGGACACCAAGGGCTGGTTTGATCCAGCATTTGTGTTTCCTCATGGAACATCTGCCATTTATTTAACAGCAGGGCCTGAGCCCTGTCCTGCCAGGCTCTGCACCACCTCTGGCACTCTGTAATGCCCATGGGGACAAATCTTGCTCATCCAACTGGCACAAACGAGGAGATACCATGGATTTCTCACACAGAACTGGCTCAGACTCAGCGAGAGCTCGTGGAGGAGGAATGGAGATCCAAGGTTCATTGTGCTTCCTCCAGAGCCAGACCAGCATCACTGGGAGCAATGCTGAGCTCAGGGAACATCAGACCCACTTCTGTGAAGCCCAAATCAGCTGATGGTGACCTGAACAGAAAAATGCTTGCAGAGCATCCCTGCCTGAATCAGCTCCTCACAGCTTTACCTCGCTTGCTTTGGCCCTTCGACAGCAAAACGATGGTGTGGAGGAACACCAGCTCTTCACAGCCCACTCAAGGCATTTCCCCAGAAGCAGATGGTGACCAGGGGGCATAAAATAGATCTCGCTGATGCAACGTTTCACTTCCAATCAGAACACTGGGGAAGCTGGAATGCAGTGTGTAGGAGCCGCTGCTTTCCCAGCCTGATGGCTGTGCAGATGTCCAGCTATTCAAGCCTGAGGGCTCACAGAACTGTCCTATCATCTCCCATCCCCCGGGGTGTCTGTGGGGCAGGGCAGACCCACTACCAGCACTGCCTTTCCAGCTGCCCCAATGACAGCCTGAGCTCAGCACCGAGAGCAAACCGAAATTAATATTCTGAGAACAAATTGATCCCGGAGCCTCTGGACAAGGCTCAGCGGAGCTGAATTCCTGCAAGGGAGATTTTGTTGCTGCAGTGATCATCTAAAACGAGTTGTCAAAGCTGTGCCCCCTTCTGCCCTCCTCAAAAGCTCTCACATGTTTTCCTATAGCAGAGAACTGACATCAGTGATGTCAGGCAAAGGAGCAGTGGGTTTGGGGGTGGTGCAGTTTGGGGAGGTTTTGGCCATAACCACCCTCAAAGCAGAGCTCTGGTAGAGGATAAGAGATGGTTAAACTGAGTCCTCAGTTTAGTCAAAACCTATCAAGATTCATGGTACATCCAGCAGTAATTGTGAGTGTATCTGTCTCTTGGAATGAGAGAAAGCAGCGGAAAATAGAAGGGAAGTTTAACTCTTTCTGCCTCAAATGTTCAACTCTCCCCACCACCACTCCCTGTTTTGCCAGAGAGCTGGGATGTGTCAGAGTGAGAACAGCTGATGGGAAATAGGTGTTGCTGGGAGCCTTTCTCAAGGGGCAGTCAAGGCAGGGGACAGTCCCCACGCTTGCTTGGGATGGAAGGACCAGAGCCAGGATCCTTGGGGCCATGGAGACAAGGTATTTGTAGGCAGAAGTGCTGCTCCACCATCCCAGCATGGGGTGCTGAGGGCACAAACTGACCCAGAGTGCTCATCATAGCCCTGGAGACAGAGACCTACTGGGGGGGGTGAATTTTGGCACATGGACCCTCAGACACTGGGGGTAAAGGCTCCAGACAGCAAGCCCTGGGCAGCTAAGGGACAAATCCCACTGGAGGTGAAAGTTCTGATGCTTCAGTCCCTTCTCCATCCCTCTCAACTTCTTCTTGCAGCCCACCCAGACAACTCCTCCCTCAGGGCATAAGCTCCCACAGTGCCTCTTAGGCACATCCCCTGACATTTGTCAGACCAGCATCCCCAAAAGTAGAGCCAGCTCAGCTCAGGGTGCCCAAAAACGCTGCCACCCAACCCTGTGCCGATCAGGGACTGCTTGAGAACTGCAGAGAGCTGTGGGGCTGCCTTGGGAATGTCTCCTGTGCTGTCCATCCTCCAGCACCAAACCTCCATGTGATGTCAAAGCAATGCATGTCAGGATGAGAAAAGAGCCAGTTCACCTGAGAAACCAGCCCTGCATCTTCTCCTCTTCCTCCAGCAACAGGATTCAGTAAATCCAGAGTGCCCTTCACTGCTTCTGGTGCAAGTACAGGATTTGCTGCTTTTCAGAGGTGTTCTTGCTCCTCTCCTCCTGTGACTCAACATGTCAGTACTTTCTGGAAACACCCTGCATGGTCTGTCAGAGGAGAAACCCAAGCCAAGGTGTGGATCAGCCAGTGCAGAGATGGTGGCTGCTGCATGGAGGAACTTTGCACCGGCCTCAAGTCCCTCAAAACTCCCTGTTCCTTCAGTGAAAGTTTGGGTTTACCCCTGTCCAATGCCGCAGGAAAACTCCCCTTCTCGTGCACACACTGTTCTCCAGAGGGGTGGGCTGAGAATACCCCTAGAACAGAGCTAGTCCATGTTTTTAGCTGTGACTCTGCCCCTTTCTGTTGCCTGCAGCCACCAAGGAGGCTCTTGGAGGCTTCCACCACTTTCCCATGCACTCAGGAAAGGGGCACTTCCCCCCAGAAAAAACAACCTGGAAATTACACCTTAACCTTCTGTGACCTTGGCTTAGACCTGATGGAGGGGGAGCAGAAAGGGGAGCGGGGGGGAAGGTTAACTGAATAGAAAAAAACTATTTGAACACCTTGTGCAATCTCAAAACTGGAAACGTGGTGAGATCCTCAGCTCAGTTCATGCAAGCAGCACGTTTTGCTCCCTCAGAACCAGGGGGGTGTGAGCTGGGAAAGTTTGCAAGGCACTTTTCCTTGTGTTGGAAGGTAAACACCTTCTTTCTGAACCAAGAAGCCCCTCAGTATACACAGGTATTTCTGGTTTTCTGCCTTCATTTTACCCCTGTCTCTAGCAGCATTTAAATAATTCCATGATAGTGTTTCAGTTAAATCAATAACTGCTTTTCCCTGTTGTGGGTGGTACTTCCAGAAAATCAATAATTCTAATACAAGTTGGGGCTGTGAGTTTGGTGGTTTCTTTCTAACTTCCAAAATTAATAGCCAAACCAGAGAACTGCTTGATTCTGAGCCCTGAGATGTGGGGCAGCCTTGATGTTTCTGGAAAGCCATCCTTTTGGGAAGCATCCCTGGGCCTCTCGTGTCACCTTGGTTGTGTCATTCCAAAGTGATGATGAGTGGCCTCACTGAGCCCTCAAGGAGGGGATCTAAAGCAAAGAGAAGACTTTTGCCATGTTTTGCCTCCCAACACGCTTTGTCCTGACAATCAGGGGGCACCAAGAGAGCAGGATCAGGCCCTGAGCAGAGGAGGCTGAAGCCCCCAAGGCTGCATGCTGAGGCTCAGAGCTGGGCTGTTGGGCAGAAGGGCACTCTGCCACGTGCAAATATTTAAAATATTGCAGAATGAAGGGGAGAGAAAGAACAGCAATAATTAAAATAATCAGTGAAGCCGTTCCGATATTTTCTCTTTTTGGGGGTTGGTGGAGGGGGAGCAGGGCTGGGAGGTGCCTGTGCCTGCCATGACCCGTGTCCCTTGCCCTGCAGTGTGACACTGTGGACCAAGGTGAGGGGGGAGCAGCAGCACTGCCTGAACCCCAAACGCCAGAACACAGTGAGGCTGCTCAAGTGGTACCGAGTGTGGAAAGAGAAAGGCAGGTAAGTGCTTGCTGGATGCAGGGGGGAGGATTTTGGTGGCAAGCCAGGCAACCAGCAGCTCCCAGGGAATCCAGGGAAGTGCACACACTGCAAGTGCTCCCTCCAGCACGCAGGATCTATTTCATTACCGAAATTACGATTTTAAAAGGGTGTTCTTGATATTATTTCTTTCCTGCCACATGAAGGTCTCACTTCTATTTTAGGATTAGGCTGCTCTGGTTAGAAATAGTAATTATTTTTGGTTAAAATATTCGTCAGCTGACGTTTTCAGTTACCGACATACACTCACCTCCCCTCCACGGGGAAAAATCCAAGATGAAAAGCTAAGCTACTTTCAGTCATGAGAAAAGCAGTCAGGGCAGCTGGGAAGAGAGAGCCCTGTCACATATTTTAATCACACCACCTCAACATCATCACTCTCTGATGACTCAGGTATTTGCCAATTTTAACAAGTGTACCATGGCCAGAAAAGCAGTAACTTTGTGCTAAAAATCTCTTGTCTTATAATGCCATCATTAATATGAGCATGGATGCCCAGCCCCAGGAAACATGCAGACAGACAAGCCCATCACGTTGTTCTGTCAGGACATAAGCTAGAAAAAGGGCAGAGTGATATTACCCCAAGCATAACAGATACTGTGAATTCATTATGTATGGAAGCTCATGATAAACATCAACAATTGTATACAGGATAGGGGGTTTGCCAGTGCTTACAGTGAATTAGCAGATGAGGATCCCTCCTAATTATTTACCCTGATAATCATAGCAGAGTGTGTTATTCCCCACAAGCCTCCAAGGTGGGGTAGTGTCCAAGCCCAACACTCCTCCCAGATGCTTTATGGGCATAGATTGCTGAAAGTCAATAACCTAATTTCCAGATTACTTAGGCAGAGGCTAAAAATCTGGTTTCTGGGTTTTTACTATTTGTGGGTTGGTTTGGTTGTTATTATTATTATTATTGTTGTTGTCGTCATTTGAAATGGACTTGAATTTTAATTCATAAATACCCTGCTCTTGGTTCTTCTTCTGTTTAGGGTTTATGAAGAATAAGAGCAAGTGGTGTGAGGACTGGAGCGGATTCCCTTGGCCGGCGTAGGACTGGGCTCTACAGAAGATTATTTCTCTCTCACAGACATAAGACACAAATTCTGTATTACTATAAAGCACTTTTTACCAAGGGTCAGTTTTTACATTTTATAGCCACGTGCAAAAGGCTTCCAGATTCCACGGGCACCTGTTGCACCTCTGACTCCACACCCGCCTGCTCCGCACCGAAATTGGGAAAAACACGTGCTTTTCGTTCTAAGGAGGTTGGTTTGGGATTTTTAATTTTCTTTTTTTTTTATTATTATTATTCTTCATTCATACTGCACTATGATTGCAATCGAGCTTTATAAGCTCACCAGGCAAGCAGCAAGGTTTGTGACGGTGTCACGCAGCCATTCCCTCCTCCCCCCTGGCAGCGGGAAAGCTTCGGTGCCGGGTTTGGTGGGTGTGTTTGCAGCCTCCACCTCGGTCAGGCAGAGCAGGGACCAAAGGCGAGTTTGCTGGGGCAGATGCCGCTGGAACGTGGCTGTGATTGCAGAACGAGGTCCCTCAGCACCTCCTCGAGTGAGCGTGACATCACTCGTGTACCTCTTCCTCGAAGGACTCGAGGTCTCGCTGCAAGGCGAAGCGTCTCCTGCCTCCCCTTTAACCTCTCATGCATTAGAAAGCGTTTCTAGGTTGTTTTTATTACTAAGACAATAAAAGTTTGTTTGGTTTGGGGTTTGTTTTTTTTTTTTTTTTCCTCACCTGAAGCGCTCACTGCGGCTTCAGTACGGAGATATTTTAAGCTTCAAGGCTATTGTGTATGATTTCCTAGATTTGTAGCACCAACAACAAAGAAAGCCTTTAAAAGGTACCTTTTTATGAAAAATATGATAGGGCAAACATATAAATCCCTATGTATGTTTTAGTCACAATACAACATATTCATTATTTTGAATGTAATACTTCCATGTTAAGCAGTGCATTCCTCTTTTTAATATAACAAAACTACCTTTTCATTTGTAAATATACTATAGGAAGTCTCCCTATATTATCTTGCTGTATAATGTACTGTACTGCTAAATTATCATATGCTATTTAAATGTTTGAAATATTTAGAAGGTTGCATGCAGATTTCATATTTCTTTCTAAGACAAACGACAAAACGTAATAAAAAAAAATATATTTAAAAAGGGCTGACAATTGCTTTTAAATTCCCCTAAGCCATCAGGGAGCTCCAGCTCCTTCTAATCACTTGGGGTTTTGTGGATTAATTGGTTTGGGGGGGAAAAAAACAGTGACTCAGAGAAGCTGATTAGAGATATGGCATCTTGATGACTCTGGAATTGGAGAACATTATTCTGGTACAATTTACTTTCTTTTCTCATTTTAGGATTTGGCTTTTAGCCAAACACAAGGAATGACATAAATAAGGGCGATACCATTACCCTGTAACCACTAGTCTGGTGTTAAGTGAACATAAATCAACCACTTCAATCCATAGAAAACCAAGTAAATAAAGCGATTTAAATAAAATCTGGGTTAGATTAGGGAAGGCTGAACAACAACAACGAAAAATATCAGACAACAAAAACCTGGGAGCCACCACCTCCTGTTCCTGCAGAGTTTCTACCCTGGCTCACAGGGAGGGACTTTGCACCCCACAAGGCTCTTCCATCATTCCCCAGATAAAAGGAAAGCAGCAGACTGGAATGGTAAAGCCAACAGGAGTTCTCTGTCTATTTATATATATACATATATGTCTCCTTAATTACTGTGATAATAGCTGGCAGAGCTGAAGGAGAAAGAGCTGTCAGATCTCTAAGCATTTTCCTATTCTGCATAAGGATGAAGCTCAAGCTTCAGGTACCTACGAGCAAAAACCTTGAGGAAGATCCTGGAGTGTTTAAGAAATTGAATCTCTGGGGATATCAACCACAAGGCTCTGCTTCTGAGCTCCATCTCTGGGCAAACCCAGCCCCATGAGCTGCCCCTCTCCTTTCTCGAGTCACATGTTAACAAGGCCAGTAGATTTTCCTTGAGAAGATTTGATTTCAACAGACCAGCAGATTTCAAAAAAGGTTTGTGCATATTTAGCCACCACTGGGCAATGGATTTCCTGGAAAAAATATTGATATGGTTGCATAAGAGGTGGTTAAATGCTGCTGGGAATGCTGTGTACAGCTCTGATTGCCCAAACTGAGCTCCCAGTGACTCACACCTCAGAGGGCATAGCCTGTAAAAATGACTCCTAGCTCTGGGTTCATCCACCACACCAAAACCACCAGCAAAAACTAAGTACAGAGGAAACCAATTGTAATGTTTTTTCCACTTGTCATGGAAAACAAACAAACAAAGCCAAAACAAAACAAAAACAAAATAAAAACACCACCAAAAACGCCCAAAACTTTGGTTCAGTATTTGCGTTTCCCTTAACCAAAATCTGTCTTTTAAATAAAACAACTTTCAAAAACAGGAATTGAAACCATGAAGAGAAAAAGCTGACCCTGAGCTGGTTTTCCCAAGCCTGTTAACCTGCATGTCCAGGCAGGGTTGTAAACTTTCCAGGAACTGGAGGAGCATCCCTTGCCATCCCTGACACGCAGTTGTAAAGGGAAATACTGCATCAGAAGGTAACTGCCACTCACAGATCAGCCTCTTTCCCTCAGACTGAAAGATCTCTGCTAAAATATTTAAATATGTATATATAATAGACCTATGTAGGTACCTCCTCCACAAAGATTTTGGCAGCAACCTTAAGGTTTGCTTTTGTTTTCCCCAGCAGTCTGTGAAGCCACAGGAGACCCCCCCAGTCCAGCCTCCCTCATATGCAAAGCATACATTTGTGCTCTCAGATCGAAAAATTAAGCCTCTGGAATATGGTCTGAGCATGCACCAGCCAGCCCTGAGGGCTCCCCAGTTCCCAATTTACCTTCCCACGAGCCTGAGAATGTGCAGGGTCAGCAGGAGCTTTGCTTCATCCTGGGGGTGCAGGAGCAGCAGATCCCACAGCTCCTTCACTCCATGAGGCATCACAACGTGTAAACCCTTCCCAGGGCATCCAAGGAGGGCAGCAGCCAACTGCTTTCCCCATCCAGCCTGCAAAGCTGCTCCCCAGCAGCCAGGAGCACGTGGAAATGAAGCGACAAGCCCTGCAAAGGAGACCTTCCCACACAGCCCATCCTTCCCCTGGGCATTGGGCATCCACAGACCAGTTCATAAACAGGGCTGTGTTGGGTTTTATTTTAATAAAAACACCAGGGTGAACCAGCTGCAGTGAGAGGACTCAATAGTGGGGAGACCTGCCTGGCCTTTTCAGTTAGAGCACTCGGTGGGATTAGGAATTTTACCCAGAGCCTTTCACCACTTGCTTTTCACTTGTTCATATACGGTCCAGGTCAGCACCGGCCAGAGAAGTTTATTAAGAAGTGATGGTTGCTTGGTGGTCTCTCTGAGATGGCTCTGGGCAGGCCCTGCTGTGCCCCTAAATCCAGGCACAAGGCCATGCCAGGTTGCTGCACACGTGGGGGACCTTTCCTGGCCACATCCACGTGGTGGAAGTGCTGGCTCTGCACTATCCAGGTTTTACCAGGGCTGTGGGAGCAAACGTGGGGCTCCACGGTAAAGTCATCAAGGGGGCTGGGGGACTGCACTGGCCACCCCTGAGACCTGAGTGGGAGGTCAAAGGCAGTGTTACAGCAACACAAATGCTCTCTGAGCTAATTAACCAGCAGGGTTGGGTCCCTTCTGGGCCCGTATTTGCAGAGAATAGGAGCGAATGTGAATAAAAAAGTCACCACCCCCAGGGCTCGTCATCCCACTGGGATCCAGATCCAGCGCCTGTCCAAGGGCAAAGGGCCTCTGTGCAACCTGACATCACTTCACAGGTTTTATACGAGCCCAGACAGAGCTTGCAGTCTCCAAAACACACTCCCCATCAGGTCAAATGAAACTCCAGTCACATTTGGAGTGTTTTTCCTCCAAAGCCAGCTTTCCAAAAGGAAGCCTTGAAATCCAGATGTGTGCAGCATCTGAAGACCTCACTTACTGCTGGTTCCTCAGCACCTTTGGTAAAAGGTAAACTGGCTTGGGCTGAGTTTGGGCTTCAGATCCAGAAGGATGGGTGGCCCATCCTGAAACCCCTGGCTGCTCCGAGCTCATGCCAGGGCATTCTGTGGATCTGCCATGCCTGGCACTCATGCTGGCACTTGTTGTTCAGATTGTTCCCTTCAGTGGGTTGAGGTGTGCAAGGTCACGGCTGGAAATGCAGGTATTTTTGAGGATTGCTGTTTGCAGCTCTCGCTGACCCTGTGTTTGCTCTGCCAGAAGCTCTGTGTCTGTTAGTCACTGATCTCCCTCTGATCCTAAACCACAGAGAGCTGAGTGTTTCCTGGAAGGTGCTCATTTTGCCTTGAAAAGCTGCACCCCACAGGCCCTCAGCTGTCCTTGTAAGCAACACACATTTCTGGCAAAGCAAATTTCCCTTTAATTCCTTTACCTGACATAACCCACCCCAGAACAGCAAACTGGGATTGCCATTGCCTGAGAGACAGCAGATGCAGCTGCCTTTGCAAGCAGCTCCAGCTGCTTTGGGCGATCACTGGTGCTCAGCGGTACCGACACACAACTTACAGAAATACTGCTTGCAAAATTCTGGGCATCCAGGCAACGTGGAAAACCCCCTGGCACTGTTAGCTGTGATTCCTGACAACACAAACCTGCATCTCCATGGAACATGCCCATGAAGGTGTTCGAGCTACCACCTCCCAAATTGTACCTGCACAAAACGGGACCACCACTTGGTCATCCTGTGAAACTGAGACAGTCATCATCCTCTCCACCCTCCAAGGGCCTCCTTGGACCATCAGCTCCACTAACCAGTGGCCCTGCACGGACAGCTCCTGATTCGTGGTAGAGGTAATAAAGTTTTTAATACCCAGTACAGATCCAGACGTTGGATTTTGAGCATCCTTAATTCTGTGAGCCAGCACTACCTGAGATGGAGCTGTGCAAGATCAAAAGGGTGGTTGGGAGGCCCCAGCAGCCCGAGGTTCAGGAATATCAGCCCCATTCCTTGCTCTCAGCAGCACTTTGGTGTCTGGCAGCTCCTGGGCCATGGCCAGCAGATCCCAGCCCAGACGACTGTTCTGAAGGAGCAGTGGGGAAAGCAGGGCTGAAAGGACATCTAGTGGTAACCAAAAACCATCTCAGACAGCCGGGGGGACACCTCTATAGCCGTCTGCATTATAAATCAATTCAGAGCCTGCTCGTCCCCAGCTCTGCAAGAAAAGCTTCAACTGTTACATGTGTTTTAGGAAACACCCCCAAAGCAAAGAAAAACAAATCATAAACCAAAGCAAAGCAGCTGTGCTTTGGGAAAACTGCTGAGAGGTTTACAGAGTGATATTATCCTGTCAGTTTGGAGCACAAACACTAAGGGAAAAGGGGACTCCTGGCTGCTCTGTGACTGCAAGAGCCACGTCCATCACACCAGCACAACCCTGGGGGGATCATTCCCAAACCAACTGCCTCAAATCCCTTAAAAACATCAGGAGCTTCTGCCCAATGTGGTTTTCTTGCCCAGTGGTTCTCTCTCCTGCCACCAGCTCTCTAGCAAGACCAGGACCCACAGGACCCCACAGAATTGTCATTCCCCAAGTGCTGCACTGGGGTCCTGTCCTCAGGCAGGACTCTCTGACCTCCCAGCAGCCAAAACACGTCACCTTCGATGCCTCAAGGGGAGAACTTGCTCCTCCTCACTGGGCAGGAGCAGAATTCACCCAACCACCAAATCAAAGCCAAGATCCCTGGAAGAAATGCTTGTAGGGGTGCAAAGTGCACAAGTGTTCACTCTTTGAACACCTGGTGAGAGGTTGTATTTCTGATCCTTTTTCTGACCTCTGAAGTCCTCAAATCCCCTTGGATTTGGCTCTCATCTTTTGCCTGTTCATGTTATCAGCTCTTTGGCTCTGATGACACACATGGAGGGCGTCCAGCCCAACAGGAGCTGGATGAGCAGGCACACAGGACCCGGGAGGCAGGGATGACATGACATGAAGTGACAGGAAAGCAAGCAGGCAGCCAAGGCCTGGGAAAATCACCACGCCTGAGTTTTTGGTTTCCTTCCTGCACAATAAAAGAGGTTAGTGAATTCCTCTTGAATGGGTTTCAGAACCTCCTCCAAGGGAAAAAAAAAAATTTAATCCTGCTGATGTTCACTTCAGGCTGATAATTACAGGAATAATTATGATTTATTCCTGTCATAAATCTTGGAGCCAGAAAAAGGGGGTTGAGGTTTGGAAGATTTGCTGGATGACAAAAGGAAAACACAGCTCTAATTGCCCTTCTTTGTTGTGTTTAATTAAGGATTCTGAAGCAACTGATCTCAGGGTTTTTTTCATGGTTAGGAACCTGCAAGGAAAAGAAAATCTTTCTGCAGAGGCACCAATCGAAGCTTTGTTGGGTTACTAGGCACTAAGTCTGCTACATCTGAACACTCAGGACTCCCAGAAAAAGAAGCTTATTAAAGGAAAAGAAATGCTACAACAGGCTTCTTTCCTCCCCTTTCCTCCCCCCCCACTTCCAGTAGGCCTTGGCAATTTTGAGCTCACTTCTAATCCCGGAAGAAATGAGGTCTTTTTACCTCATTATTGCCCATTCAATCGTGTGGCATAAAAATACTTCTCTGCTTCTATTACCTTCATGATTGCACCATTTACATTTTTCCTCGGGGTTTACTTCAACTTCCTCTCTTAGCTCTCCAGACTTATCACTTCTGCCATCACATTAGGAAAAACAAACCAGCCCAGAGCAGCTGAGCTCCCTCCTTGGGCCAGTAATTCCCAGTCACCCCTCCCCAGCAGCAACTCGTGCTACCTCTCAAATCCAAAGTGTAAGTGGCTGGCAGGGTGTTCCCTCTCCATTTTTGTGCGACAGCTAAAAGAGTTCTGCCAGGAAAATCCACTTTTCCTGGTGTCAGAGCATCACCTCTGGCTGCGGGCGATGCCATCAGCCCACGAGCTGTGTGAACTCAAGGGATGAAGGGGAAAACAGGAAATCCTTGGGACTGCTTTCAATCTAAAGACGCCTGGGACAGTGCTTTTGCAGAAAGCAATGGCTCTTGATAAGTGGGGCACACCTTAGGCCAGAACAGGACCCCCACACACTGCACCCACCGAGGGAAATATGGATTTGGGTTGCCCAGGAGATTAAAACCCAGCACTTCAGCTGCACAGAACAACATACTGGACAATTATGCCTGGAAATGTTGCTCTACAAGTGGGGAAAAAAAAAAGACTTCTCAGGTTCGCCATGGTGTCTGGGAAACGTTCTCTTAAGGTCAGGAGGAAAGAACGGAGCAGGGCATTGAATTTGGCTAAAGATTGGTGTGGAAAATCATAAAGGAAAACAAATAGAAATGCAGGATGGTCTTAAAGCAAAGAACGAAGGCAAAACAGGAAATTTTCTGTGTTTTAGGGGATTTTTGCCCACTTACTTGAAGCAGGTACCCGGGTTTTCCAGCAGAGCCTCCACGCAGGTTATCCATCCCAGCCGGAGGAGCAGCACCGGCTCTGAGCCGCAGCTTGGTGGAGGTTGACACCTTGTGGTTATTCCCATCATTTACACGTCAGGAAAGCTGGGGTTTTCCTTTCTTTTCCTTGTGAAGACAGTGGGTGGAGTTCACGGCCGAAGAGCTGAATTCCCAGCACCTGGCACGTCATTTGTGGGGTTGGGGTCATCAACAGGTTAATGAAGATAAATAACACCAAACACTAAAGCCACACACTATTTTTTTCTGGGGGAAGAAATAAAGAAAGGGAAAAAGATTCCTTGGGATAGGCACCAGCTGTATATACATTAGACCCACAAGACAAGTAATAAAAAGTAATCTCATGAACAATGTTGCTCAGCAATTTTCCAGCCCCTTTGGATCCCCCCCCTGTTTGGACAGTGGGGTGAGAGGTGCAAAGCCCTGGCTATCTCCAACAGCTGCTTTGGAGAAGTGGAGCTGCACCAGCTCCAGAGAAATTATCTCTAATTCCCACTGGAGTAACTGGAAACAGGCTCGAGACCTGCCATGCGTTAAACCTGAGGTGAAGAGGGAAAAAAGTACCTTGGGTTTTATCCAAGAGGGTTTAAAAATGAGACATTTATAGTCTGAAGAAGCACATTCACTTCTTCATTCCTAATTAAGTATTTTATTGCAATTTAATACATGCTTGAATTGGAAAAGAAAGGAGTATCCCCTCACCAGAGGCACTGCAGAAACACTTTCAATTCCAAAAAAATAGAGCAAATCTACGTATTATTTACCACTTGCTTTCAGCCAAGTTTCATGCAATTTGTTTGAAAATCAGTGACACCCTTCAAATAGCTGATTTGGTGCAGGAAAAAAAAAGGGGGGTTAGTTTAGAAAGAGTCAGGGCACCCCCACTGCGTGTTCTCCCTGAAGCACCTTAACTCAGAAGCCACACAAAGTTTCACCTTGATACTTTCTAAAAATCATATTCTATTTAAGGCAAACTAAATCTCTTCCTGCTTCCATATGTACAATTGTAGCCAAGGTCATATAACTGCTTACTGAAATAATTAGAAGAATTAATTTTTTTTTTTTTTTTTTTACCGGTACCATAAAAGCAATAACAAGACAGAGGGGAGATGCAAACCCTCATCCCTGCACGGCCGAATTTGCAGCGCCGAGCCTTGGGGTGTCACCCTCGTCCCTCTCATGGCCAGAGCAGCAGGACCTGCAACCCGAAGGGTCATCCCTGGGGTCAGGGAGCAGGACCCTGTGCCCAGGACTGGTGGTTGGAGCTGTCTCCTTTCCTTTCCCACCTGCCCTGCTCAGCCCAAGCACTGGGGCTCCTGCAAGCACCAGCAGGTCCCTGCCCAGCCCTCACATCTCTTTTGGGGTTAATTCACCCGCTTGCTTCTTTTTTTTTTTTTTAATTCGGGAGATGTCACCTCCTTCCTCACTGATACAGCATTTCACTGTAGATGGCCTTTATTTATGTAGAATACATACAGTCTGTGATGTGAAAAGCGTGTGAGGCCAGGTGGGCACAGGGCTGGGTGCACAGGGGTGGGCACACGTGGTGGGCACGCAGGGGGTGTGAGTTCAGCCACGTGTCTGTGCCTGCACCTCCACACGGGAGCTGCTCCCTGGCCTTGCCCTCCTGCCCCGAATCCCGGGGAAGGAAGCAGGCAATTCCCTTCGGGGGCAAACCCTTGTCCCTACAATGCCAGGGAAGGGATTATACCAGGGATTAACATTTTAAACCCCCCTTCCAGACCTACTCAATCAAAGATCCTCAGGCCAGTAATCGTACTTCTGTCCCGGGATTACTGCATTCCTGAGGCCAAACCTCAGTTTCAGGAGAAACCAGAAGAGCTCCCCCCTCAAACCCTGTGCACCCCAAACTCCCTGGGAGGGGGCAGAAGCCGCTGCATTTGTGTTTTTCTCCCTTTTTTTAGCCATTCTCTCCAATTCCCCCCGCCGAGGCCCGGAGAAGACTCCGGGGAGCTCTTTTCTTGTCGCCTGCCTCCTCCTAATTCCCAGTAATTTATCCCGTATTAAAAGTCCCTTAAGGAAGAATGGCCCTGGACCCAACACCTGCTATGCAAATGGCAGCAAATCCCCCGGGCCCCCGTGGAGGGGCAGTGGGGACCCGCGGGCTGCTGGTGGTCCTGGAGCATCAACCCCCCCCACACTCTGCTGCAGGACTCCAACCAGAGTCAAAGGGGACCCCCAAACCTGGGAGAGGGGAGGGGACACCCCCAAAGCCCCCCCAAGAGTTCAGGCTCCGTTTCACCCCCACATTACGGTGTTTAATTCTTTCGGGTTGTCTTTGCCGCTCCGAAGCAGAATTATCGATATGGGAGGTTTAAAGGGAAAATCTGAGTATCTCAGCTTGAAGTTAAAGCTTCCCAGTTTGGATGTTGTTGGGGGGGAATTTCTTCTGCAGGGCAGCCATTGAGTTTTGTCCCTTTCTTTTAGGATGAGTGTTCTAGTTTCTATTAACAGAATACAGATCAACAAAGGAGGGGGAATCGTGGGCGGGAAAAGAAGAGAAGAAAAAGCTCTCGCACAACAAAGGTGTGGGGCAAAAAGGGCTCATTTCTGGGAGGTGACATCCTAATTTTATTTTTCCAGGCTGGGGAAGGCCAGGCAGGGTGTGTGCATGACCACACCGTGAGGGTTTGGCCCTTTTCCTTGGATAACTTGGATTAGGGTTGTTGAAACCTCAGGCAATTCCCATGGCACATGCACCCCACACCAAAGCCCAACCCATCTCCCTGGGGGTACCCAGTGCTGGGAAGCCCCATGAGGGTCCCTCCCAAACCCCTTCCCGTGGCCCTTTACCACGATCACACATTTCCCAGCCCGGAGCCCTTGAGTGACATTTGGGCTATTATTCGGGGAGATAGATTGTTTGGCCTGAAGATGCATTGTTTGGGCTCCTCATAAAAGAAACAAGTTAAATGCCACAGCTACCACACACAAAAATGACTCCTTCTGGCCATAAAACCAGTGGGACAAGGAAGTGGTTGTAGGAGTCAAACATAATTGATGCTCAGAAAGATGTTATAAATAATCTGCGCTGAGTCCTCTCTCATGTGCCTCAAAAACACAGAAAGTGGGGCTTTTTTTTTTTTTTTCCCCTCCTCTTTATCTCCCCTTGAATTCAGAAGCATAATACACCGTGAGCACCAATAATTGATGTATGTTATAATTCTTCATTACCCTATCAGTGGTCTGGGAAAATCAGAAGAAAAGAAAATGCCAGAAAGTTATGGTAAAACTTAAGATGCGACAGAAGTAGCTTTCTTTGCTCATGCTGTGAGTGTTTGAATAAGAAGAATGTCCCTGCACTGTAACAAGCTAAAAGAATGAGGAAGACAAAGGATTTCACGAAAAAGGTTTAGATAGAAGACAAGGCAAGTGAAACTGAAAGGAAGGGAAAAAAACCATTTACAATGGAACAATGCGTGTACTAATCGCTTTGATATATTATACAAACCCAAAGACCCAAAACATTGTGTAATTATTTATAAATGACTTCTCCACTCCTGTGTATAATACCACAGAAAGAATAAAACTGCAGGCTACTCTCTAAACTATTTCTAAATAGACCTAGCTCAAAAGGAAGCAGAAGTGTTTGAAAAAAAAATAATTAATGGTTGATTTTATGGTTGTCTCATTAAAACATTTTAATTACAACAAACAAAATACATTTGTGCTTGCAGGGAACAATCGTTTACCTACTCAACCTCCCCCCCACCTTTCCAAAAAGAAGGAAAATGTTACATCACACATTTGAAACCTGAAAATAAAACATTATTTCTGCAGAGCCCCCAGGAGGGGTTGAACCCTGACTGCAACTCCCAGGCACTTGTGCAGGATTTTGGAGAGGATTTGGCTTCCCAGGACCAGGATCCCCCGGTACATGGGGACTCCCTGTGATGTCCCTGTGCTCCCCACCCGTGAGTGGCCCCTGGCACACGGCCTGAGGCCTCACCCTGGCCACGGGCAAGTAGGAGAGGAGGCCAAATCCTTCAGAGACAAAGCCCTTGAGCTGCTCCCGAGGGGTTTCCCCGGCAGGAGAGTTGGCTCCTGCTCCAGAAGGGTTAACTCTGCCTCCCTGCGGGCTGAGAGCCCTTCCAAATATTGGCCTTCCAGGGCTGTCCATCAGTCAGCAGCCACAGGACCAAGCTCTGAGCCCTCTGAGAGCCTCTGTAAGGTGACTCCAGCGGGGTGAGGAGCCCCAGGAGCACAGCTCCATCTGTCCATCCCTGCCCTCGCAGCCCTCACCACACGTCTGTCCCCACCCAGGCTGGACAAGAGGCCTCTGTGCTCTGCACCATGTCCAGACCTGGGTGCTGCCCCACTGAACAGTCTTCTAGTTTCCTACCTGTCTTTAAAATTCCTGCTGCATCAACCTGGCCATGCCCAGGGATGAGTGAGCTTGATCCTTCCTTTCCTCCTGCAAGGTCAAACTTTCTGCTCCCAGTGACAGCTTTGCCACCAGCCACAGTCACCTCTCTAAATTTAGCTCAATTATCCTCCACAGGCAGCTCTGCCTTCCCTTACTGGCCATGATTTCAAACATGAGGGAGCAAAAAAGCAGCATTCTCCTGGTTGACGCATTGTTTTGATACTCATCCCAACATGAGTTCAAGCCCTTTTGTACAAATGTAACAAAAGATGGAGTTTGGTGAGTTGCTGCAATGATGTGCATCTTAAGAGCTGGGAGGAAAAAAAAAAAAAAGAAAAGATGTTCCTCTGACTTCTCTGAGGCATCTTCCAAATGAGGGAGCAGTAGTTTTACTGTGAACCACTCATTTCCAATCTTGGAGAGAAGAGTGATGCTAACACTGCTCTAATGATCATAATTTTGATTGGTTTTGAAATGAGAGGCTGATTTCTAACATGGAGATTTATTTACCTTTACAAGGTCCAGCAAACCAGGGAATGGCATCTTCTCACTGACTGGCTTTTTCCATGAAGGAAACAGTGCAGTGCCAGGCACCTGAGAGCACATTTTCTCCAAAAGCCTTTCCTCCACCTTTGTTCATCAATTCCTACTTTTTCTGGAGTCCACCCATGATGTCTCAACATGAGGGCAGAGGAACAAGCTTTGTGCTCGAGGTCTCACAAGTGTTATATCAGGTTGAATCTTCTTTCCTCTCATTTTTTAAAGTGCTGTAAGGTCTCTCAAAGCAAATGATAAAGCATTTCCTTAGAGCTCCAATTATGAAACTAATAACATCCCTGAGTCCATCTGAGCCCAGCTGCACTTACAGCAAGGTGGAAAAGTTAACATCAAAGGCTAAAACTCAGAATAAGGCCGTCAGTGAGACACTGGAAACACACTCTGTGTTCCTTGAAATCAATGGTCCCGTTCCATTTCGGGATCTTTTTCTCTCCCAATCCCAGGAAACTTCAGGAAACTTCAGCAGCTGACTTCCACAGGGGCAGGCCCATAAGGTGTAAGAGCTATTATCTGTGCTGGCTGAATAATTTATCTGCAAAATTAGTAGACTGCCCCGCGATAGAACTGGTTGAATTATTCATCGGGAATAAATTATTCCAAGATATTTAGCACTTCTTTCTGTTTGCGAAGGCTTCCTGAAACAATTCTGGTTCTGTGAATGCATTCGTTATTCATAAGTGCGCGGTGAATAGATTATGCAAACAAATTTCAGCCTATGGGTTGTTTGTGAAACGTTCACTTCAGGCCTGGCTATTCATGGCTGTGACTGATCACGGAGACACATGGTGCTCTCTCCCCTCCTTGATTGGAGCACAAACTTTTAAAACAAGAGAATAACAAATGACAAACTGCAAATGATGGATAAGGACTAATGAATAATGCGCTTTCACTGCAAACTTTCAGGCGAGTGATGGGTTGTGCCAAAGTCTGTGAAACTCTGGGGAATCATAAACATTTTAATGAATAAACTATTGACTGCTCAAAGACACCTAAACAAAAGGCAATCAAAGTGTTGCAGACAACACCGGAGTTTATCTCACTGTATACAAAGTGCACAGTAACAAAAGTTGAACATTTTTTGCCATATGCTTCCATAACCTTTAAATTTTGTGGTCCCTTCTTTCTCCTGGTCCGTGCTGGAAACTCCACGGGCCGATCTCTGCCGGCCGGCCGAGGCCTCTAATTGTGCCGTCACTTAAGGACATGAGGAGCTCAGTGAAGTGGAACTACTTAGCGAAGAAAGTCATTTATGTATGCAAAGGCCCTAAAAACTTCAGCCTGATTGCAGGTCGGGTGATTGAGAGAGCCCAGTCCCTGCCGGGAACAGCCAGGCCCCCGTCGCAGGGCCTTACTTGGCTATGTTGCACACCCAAGCACATAAAGATGTTAAAAAGCAGAAAGAGAGCTGATCCTGAAAGCTCACGGTGCTGGCAAACTACTTCTAGTTTGAGGCTTGTTAATATTCATCACCCAGGGCTTTTTGGATTGCTCACTTCTGTGCACGATCTTCTGGGCACAAAGAAGGTTGTTTTGGGGCAGTTTGCTGATGTCGTCTCAAAAGCCAGGAGGGTGGGAAGCAGAAGGGATAACTTTGATAGCAAACTCCTGGCACAAGCTGGAGCAAAGAATGGTTGCCGTGAACTCAAAATGCACAATAATTCATGCTGTCGATTTTCCCTGTTTACCCAAGGCACAGGAGGAAATCAAAGGAGGGGGAATCAATCTACATTTTGTGCAAGGGGAAATCATGTAAATACATGTGAGTTTAGGCACAGGCTCCTGAAAATGGCTATTGATGGGTGATGAAACTGAAAACCTTCCAGGGAGGCAAGTACCTGAGTGCTTGACAATGGGGCTTCCTCGCAGCACCCAGGGCAGGATGCAAAGAGCCAGATGTCAGAATTAGGAAACTTTTTAGGCACCTAAAAAAAATGGGGCTTCCCAAAGTGTGAGATGGTGATAGCCAGCCACTGAAAGAGGATTAGCAGAGGCAGCAAGAACTTTACAATCAAAACAGCACCCTTCTTTTTCTTTATCCTGAAGAAGAAGGTTATCACTGCATATACATTGTGTGTATATGTGTGTGTGTGTGTGTTTATACAATGTACATGTATTATGAATACAACCACCGAAGTTTATAAAATAAATGTCCTTCGGAACCTCCAACTTTCTGAACACCTGCAAACCCCTTTTCAACGCGAAGCCCGCAAAACCCAAACCGCGTGTCCACATTCTCCTCAGAAACTCAGGAGACAAAAATACCTGGTTTTGAGTTTTACCATCTCAGAGCATTTTCACTTAGGGGAAAAAAAAACCCAAACCAAAATAAAAAAAAAAACACAAGGTAAAGGGTGACGAAAATCTTCCACCCGCATCTGGCTGGGGAATAACCCACGGCTCATCCTCTGGAAGTCAGGATTAACTTTTATTTATTTTTTTTTTTCCCCCAAGCCCCCTGCTCGCAGCGGTTTAAGCTCACGCCGGAGTCCCCGCGGCCGGAGCGGGCCGGTGACCCCTCCACCCCTCCTGCCCCGCTTTGTGCTGCCCGCACACGGGGGGTGGGGGACAAAGCAGGGGGGACACCCCCCTCCCTTCCTCCCTCCTCTCTCTCCCCCGTCCCCCGGGGGCGCGGCAGATGCGCGGCCGCCCGCGGTAATTGCGGGCACGCTCCGGAGGGCGCGGCGCACGGGGCCGACCTGCCGCCTCGGCGCGGCCCCGCGGGGCGGCCACGGGGCCATTGTCCGCCCGCCGCTATAAGAACGGGCGGCCGCGCCGTCGTGTGCCAAAGCCGCCGCTCACACGAGCGGATCGCAGCCCGCAGCACTTCAAAGCCACGCGCGGTCGCGTGTCCCCCCCCCCC